GGACACTTCCTGATATCAGAGGCAGGAAACATAGCCTTATGTGGTGTATTTTGGGGTGGTAATTATGCTAATCTCTTCTCGCATGTACGAGCAGCTAGACACAAAAAGATGGAATTTACGCAGCTCATTTACACACTTTTCAGGAAGATAGAAGAGTTTGTTGAATTTGACGTGTACAAAAGTAAGAGAAATTTAGGATAAGAATACGAACATGTTCTTGCATGAGGCCAAATGAACTTTATTAGAGTCCATAACTTATTTGGCAGTTTTGTCACAAAAACCTATAATTGTAAATCAGAAACATAATAGTTCAGAAAATGTCATAGAAAATACAGAAAACTGAACAGGTTGAAAAATATGACCCAAACAGAATACAAAGATATCCCTGCAGCACTGGGAGAAACTAAATTTTAATTTTCTGCACTGCTAGAGACTCCAAGTACATAACAGAATGTCTTTAACAGCTAAAAAAGTGGATTTCACATGATATGTCTCCTTTAACCACAGCAGATATCTGCACCAAATGCTCTAATCCTTCAAATCAGTTTAAACTGGATGTCTTTCATTCATGCTGCATGTTAAGATTAKAAGATGATCTGAATGCTGATCAGAGTACAGAAACTCTCCTCATTGAGAGGCGGCCAAACGGACAACACACATCCAGAACGAGCACACACACAGATCTATGTCRGGACACACAATCTCCTGGTCGCATGCAGCTCGGAGCCGACAATGGCAAACATGTGATGAACAAACACAGATCGACATGTTCGGAAATGGAGAACTGTTGCAGTGTGTCACCACAGATGGAGCCTACATGATAGTGTACAAACGGCAACTTCAGTAAATCTAATACCTGATCTTCTTTTGTGCTGTTTGGGTAATGTATAAGTACCTTTATACAATCCTTTAAGAGAGTAGAGTAGTAAACAAGTTAAAACACTTGAATATTAAAACCATGGGTAGGAAAAATGATTTTTGACTGGTAAAAAAGTGACRAATTCAAAATAATGTAGAAGCCATAATGGATGCATAAGCAAGGTAGATTATTATTTTAATATAAAGTAAGCTAAGATGGAATAAAAAAGAACACATTAAATTATACTGCTCTTTAATAAATGTTTCTCCTACAATTGTACAAGGGGGGCAGTAAGCCCCACCCAACAAAGCTGACTGCCCCGCCTAACAACCCCCACCCCATCTATAAAGCTGAGGGGTTGTATTAAATAGGGGTGTAAATTTTAAAAGCTTTTTTTTCTAATACACCACCACAATAAGTTTCAATATTTCCTCTAAAGGCCCTGTCACACTATAACATTTTAGACAACTTTTGCCAACTTTTGAAAATTTTAAAGACATCTACATTGAAGATGGAATTAAAAAAGGCGTGCACATACTGTAATGCTAACAAATTGATCATTTATATAACTTTTATTAGTAATTTAAACAAAAAACAAATCTCATAAGTTGGCATAAGTTGCCTAAAATGTTATAGTGTGACAGGGCCATTATAAAACTGAAAAAATAGTTTTGTTGGGGATAAATCCTGCTAATTTCTCCCTCCCTTCCACTGCACRTTATGCAGAGCGAAGCATTAACAACAAATGTGGTTGTATTTTTAACACTGGAGTCAGAAAAGGGAAACTTTTTAATTTTTTTTTATTTTTATTTTTTTTATAAAAGTCGTGGTTGCTCGCTTACTCATAAGTCCATCTTTATAATTTAACAATTAGCTTCGGCTCTGGGAGGGCAGCAGATCATTTCATTTGCTTCACCACACTTACATTGCAGATTTCTGAAATTGGTTTACGATTAGACATACAGTATTAGTTATTTAYGTGAGAAACATATATGATTCAACTAATTAAACTGCAGAATTTTTCATGTTCAATTGTTTTTATTTATAAAAAGCTGCAGACTCTTTAATTATTTTCAAAAATACTAGTATGGTTTCTGCTGTCGATCATCACCCTCCCAAACCAATACTTTAGGGAAAACACTGGTAAATAATTTATTCTTGAAYGTACATTGTCTGTTATAGTCACTTGTCATTATAGCATAATTACTTAGAATAAATAGCTATTTTCTGCAAACAAATCTACAGCTTAAATATGAGTTGCTAGAACTGAATAGAGTCTAAATGCAGACGGTGRTTTCAGCACAGCCCGATTCAATACWAAGGACCAGTTTCTGCAGGGTTACATAACCATGTACWGTATATGACTGTTATTCTCTTTGGAGTTCTTTAAAAAAAAACTCATCTCATAATCACATAAATATAAAATGTGATCTTAAGAGAGGAGTCACCGGTGAGCAGCTGCCTGAAGATTAAACTGTCATGAACAAATCACTTTTAAATTTTAATAAATGGCAAATTATTAAACTTGCAACACCCATTAGTCTGCTTCATTTGGATGTCATGTCTAATTTGCAGCAATATTTATTATTATTATTATTTCCTTTATTTAACCAGGAAAGTCCCATTGAGATTAAAAACCTCTTTTTCAAATGAGTCCTGAAAATAGTGAAGAAGGGCCACATTGATTAAAAAAAAAAAACAACAAATAACGCAAGTTTTTACCTGCTTCTCCTCTTAGAGCTTTCTCCACAGCCACGCCTCTCTCCTCCAGCTGCCTCTGCTTCTCCTCTACCTGCTCCAACTGTCTCTGAATGATCTGGACAGACGAGGATTTGGATCAATGATGACYCAAACCAATGCTCGGAGGCACATATTAACAAAATAACATTATTTTCAATGTAAACCTTTTTATATAGGAGTATTCAAAACAATCAAAGTTTACAACCATTTAGAGTTGGTTTGCTCCAACTGACGCACCAGTTTACTCTCAATAAATAAAAATGCCCTCTGCAGCAAAACAGCTAATAACGACAACTATAATGATGATTTGAAGCCTGCTCTCATGGGCTTTTCATGGTTTCCCTCCCTGGATCAACATCACACCTCACCGCTATTGGCAGTGGATGCATAAGGGAGTGAAAAGCAATGCAGCCTCTACATTGCTATATACATAATCATAAACGTCAAATGTAATTCAATGATCTGTTTTAAAGCATGGATCCACTTTATGAATGTGACACGAGGCAGCAAAGTGTGYGAAAGGAGTCAGCAGAAGCGGCAGGTGCAGCGAGCCGAAATGCCTGCACTGACACTTCGGCCAACCTTTAAATTACTGAAGCGAGTTTTATTCTTTTATAAGTAGTTGACACTTTTAAAAAACAAGAAATCAATAGTGTTGACAATTCACAAAACAGAGCGTGAGGGGTAACTTTAAAGGGATCCCCAGTTAGTTGTAACATTACGACTTTGATAAAAATATATATTTAACTGTAAAATAAAGACTGTAAAAATTCTGTAGGCTGTTTAGTTTTTATAATTTTTAAACTAAAAGTTTAAAAATATATTACACGGATGGGGCCATTTTATTTACATGCAAAGCATTCTGGGTAAATGATGACATGGATAGGTCCTCGGTGCAAGACTGYTAGCGAGCTATATCCACCCTGAAGGTTAATCTTGGACAATATCTGATGATCGTCTCTTTTAAATGAAACCAGAGAGCGTTGACAGAGAGGAGAAGGTAGAAATGACTCAGCCTGGAACTGAAAATATAGATGGAGGACAACAGAGCTGCTTCATGGAAGAAGAACCTCAGCTTAGCCTGTTAGCTTTAGCAGTAGCCCTGAAAATATGGATGGAGGACCTCAGTTTAGCTTGTTTGTCGCGCTAACGCTGAGCTAATACATATAAGGCAATATAGCGTTAGTGCTAGCGCAAAGGCTAACAGGCTCAGCTGAGGTTCTTCTTCAAGCAGCTCTGTTGTCCTCCATCCATATTTTCAGTTVCAGGCTGAGTCATTTCTACCTTCTCCTCTCTGTCAACGCACTCTGGTTTCATTGAAAAGAGTCGATCGTCAGATATTGTCCAAGATTAACCTTCAGGGTGGATATAGCTCGCTAGCATCCTCGCACCGACGACCTATTTGATGTCATCATTTACCCAGAATGCTTTGCGTGTAAATAAAATGGCTTTGTCCGTGTTGAAATATATATTTTTTAAATTCACAAAACTAAACAGCCTAGAGTATTTTTACGGTCTTTATTTTACAGTTAAAATATATGTTTATCAAATAAAGTCTAATGTTACAACTAATCATAGATCCCTTTAAAGATGCGTTAACAAACTGACGAAGAGGTGAAGCAGGACTTCAGTTCATCTGTGACTCGTAGAAATCGGAGGTGAAAGTACGGTTTGGTTCTATATCCATGGAAAAGACATGGAAATCAGGCCAGCAAACAACCGCCCCAGGAGAAGAGACAGCAGAGTGCTGAGTCAGCGGCCCGGGGGGCCTGACTGCACTTACAGCCTCAATCCCAGAGATGTTCTTTAACAAAGAGAGCAGCTGGCCTCGGTCCAAAAGAGCTGAATCAAATAGATGTGACCATATGGTGTAAAGCTACAAAATAACAGTGACAGCAATAATATGTCTACATAAAAAAACCTCTCAAATCAAGTCATAAAAACCGGCTCCCGTCGGTCTCTTTACCTGGGCTCTATGAAGCCTTTTGAGCTCCTCCTGCTTCGCTTGCCGCCGCGCAGCTTTCTGTACTCGCCGCGTGAGTTTGGCATTCAGCTCTTCCTCTGTGTAGGTTTTCTGATGAAACAACAAAAAAAAAGTTGAAGCCAGAGGAATCTCATCATCCAGCTGCTTGATTTGGAAAACCACCTCTATAGGACCTTGGCTCTTCAGAAAAACTTGACACAAGAGGAGAGGAAATAGGAAAACCAGCTAGTCTGTAATCTACATAGAAATATTTAGGCTTTTACCACACAATCCACGACGGGTTTTACTGGCTTTTAAATACAATTCCAGTGATATTAGCATAAAACATTTTGGAATATGCTGACATTAYGCATTTTAACGTCCTCATTTACATAACCTTTACTTCATGATGAACAACTTAATATCTGGCCAGAGTTCCTACGAACAAAGAGACATTCTTCCTGTCATGAGCCGTGAAACTGTCCAACGCTGGTAAAAACGAGAAGAAATAAGTAAAAGAACCAATGCAAAACCAGCTCTTCCAGCTCACTGGAGTAAACTAGTGCCACAGTGGCAGATTAATGTGATAGCAATCGGAAAGAAACAGCCCATTGGATCACAGAGATTCAGAGGTATCAGAGGGACCAGAAAAGTGAGTGCTTTCAGAGATTTAAGAGCGTGAACAACCAGCAGTGAGTCAKCGGGTATTAGTTTACGGCCAGGCCTTCACAAGATGTTATGACAGTAAACTGGCACGTGGGTCAAGAGGACGGAGAGGGGCGGGGTCTCTGCAGTCACTAAGTGGGAGTTTCAGGTTTTGTGGGAGGAGTTTGTTAAAGACGTCACGTGATTGGTTGGATCGACTATTTTGGGTTGGGTTTGAAGAAGACTGGATGAATGGTGAACAGCTGAGAGGACGTGTAGTTCCATCGAAACAGCCAGAAAGAACCAAGATTTTTAAATATAAATATTAATTTTAGTCGTAACTCGAGACAGGAAGATGCTAGCTGCGCAGAACTTGAAAGTCGTACGTTGGGGGACGTGTAACAGTTCGGCTCAGTTAAAACAGAACAAACCCGCATAGAAAAAAGTTTCTGCTTTTTGAATATGATAAACTTAATCAGAACCCAAGGCAGGAAGATGCTAGTCACACTAAATTTGATGTCAATAAATTATATTTTAAACTACAAATATATAGTCAATAAATTATATTGCATGTTCACAAGTTTAATAATACATTGTTTCATCTGTTAAAGGCACAGTGTGTAGGATTTTGTCAATTCTTTTAGCCAAAATTGAGACAATCACTAATGACAATAATAAAAAAACATGTTAATCATTGCAGACAAAGACCTTGTTTTATTATTTTTACCTTATAAAAAGCTGTTTATATCTCAATGGTCACGGGTCGCCASTACAGGCAGCCGCCATCTTGCACCGCCATCTTGTCTACGAAGGCTCATGAAGGACAAACTGCGGTGGCGGCGTCAAAAACGGTTTTAGTTGTAATACTATAAATGTAATATTTGTTGTCTGTCATTGTAGCTGGGATAATTTTACTTATTAAAGCTCATAATCTTACCACTTGAAACATCACTAGCCCTGAAGCTGCTGGTAGACATCGCGGTTGGAATTATCAAAGGTTTTTGACACMTGAGAGACACCGTAGCAACTCCTTTGTGTTTGGAAGCGGGGGGTGGGGGTGGGGGAGGACCAGGGAGGATGATTCAACCACTCAACCACTAGATGTTGCTGAAAACAACAAATCCTACACACTGTGCCTTTAACTTACCCCACGATACAATCAAACCCACCTACGTATTATGGTTTTGCCAAACTCCACCCACTCAAGAACCTGCCTTTCATTTTATTTGTGATTTGTATTCTTTTGTTGTACACAGAATTTGCTTTGTTTTTAAATGAAATTAATGACTAAATACGATTAAGCAAAAAAAAAAAATTGGCAGCCTCCATCCTATATTCAAAACTCTGCCGGTCTTAGTTAGGACAAACTCCRTCCACGCAAACAAGAATCTCTCCCCATGCACTGCAGAGACCCCTGGCTTGAGAAAGCGAGGTGAAAATCAAGGTGGGTGAGGTGGAGGTATCAACGTGTAACRTATGTAATACTACCTTTGTGGCGTACGATCTCTTGAACGCCAGTGCGTGAGGAACATAAACAGACTTGGTGAAGTCAAAACATAAAAAAAGGGAGGGGGGAAGACAAACACAATACAGATGATATGATTAAATGGGTTAATGATTGCGTTAAACAGGTCATAAATAAAACCACAAATGTAAAACAGCGAGTTACATTTTAGCGGGTAAAAAAAAATCAAAACAGGCAATGTTAATATCCCACAAAAGAAATAAAAGACTGGAACACATTCATATTATTTCTAAACTAGTCAAACTACAACATGAAACAAATCATCACGGATGATGAAGCGTGTTATTTCCAGTGCTACGTCTAMAATCTCTCAGATCTAATACACACAATTACAGAAAGGAAAGACTGTCACCAAGACAGTGGCTACAAACTAGAATGATTCCAGTGAGATCTCATTGAATTCCTTGAGGCCTCGGAGGCACGATAAAGCTTTAATCTGCRTTTAATGGGGCTGTATGAAGTCAGAATTTAGATTACTATTCAGAAAGAATCAGAACGTCGATTCTTTCTTCATACATGTCGTCACAGTAAAGGAAACTAAATGGGAGCACGTCTTTAGTTTTACAATGAATAACAAATTTGTGCCTCTGGCACTGAACTGAGCTGCATCTAAAACCACCAGGGACAGAAAAAAACAACTAAACACAAACAAAGACACATGGCCTGAGCACCAGCGAGGAGAATAATTTTGAATTTCAGAACAATATGAATGCAAATAGACTCAAATTAAAGAGCTTCATTATAAAACACAGGGTTGTGTGTGCTAAATGCCTGCACAGACCTGATGTGATCTAAGCAGCAAGTTTATGGACTAAATTCAGCTTTTGGCAGAACTGACTTGTTAATTTTTCTTCAAACAAACAGCATTAAAAGCTGATGTAACGCTGGGTTTATTCGAAATTCAAAATCATTCTGCTGCTGCAATACCTCCTCGTTGTCTTTTTCCTTCTCTCGGTCCTTTTCTTGCACCCTTTCATTACGGTTCTCTTTAAGCTTTATTTTCTTTAACTCTCGCCTCTCTTTTTCCAGTTTCTCCTCCTTTATTGCTTCTTTCTGCAAGCCTGATACTAGGTCAAAGATGTCCATATGCAGCTAGGAGTGAAAGAAATCATATTAAGATAAAATGTTTGAATGAGTTTGAATAAGATAAAACTGGAGCAACGGGTGTGAAGATGACATAGATGACCTCTAAAAAACCCGCTGGGAAATGTTTCATAAACTGAGAAAAGCTCAGTGTTTAAATTTAAATGCATGAACACATCTTCTGCACAAACATTTCCCCAGAAGAACTGTTTGGCCTAAGAGTCTCCTGGGTAGCTAAGAAACTCACGTCTAAATAAACTAATGTAAAAAGAAAAAGATGGTTTAAAACCACCAGTGATAAGATTTAAAAAATGGTACGGCCCATTCTTTGGTATTTTATTTATTTTATAAAGTTTATTCATTTAAAGTTCTTATGAACGTGTTTTATGATTTTTTATAGTTTTTAGAGTTGTGCTTGATGTGCAGTTTTGTACAGTATATTACGTCTAATGAGCCAAAGACAGTTTTCCACTACGGTGGACATTAAAGTTCTATTCTATTCTATTCTATTCTATTCTATTCTATTCTATTCTATTCTATTCTATTCTATTCTATTCTAT